CACAAACTACAAGGAATGGCACCTTTTGGTGTAACATCCGGGCAGACAGTTGTCATAGTTCCCATGCTTTAAGGATGACTTCTCTTTTAAGTACAATCACTCTCAGGAATTGACCATAATGCGCACAAGAAGGGCACAATCAAATGAAATACTTCTCAGGAAACCAGTTCAGGTTTCTTTAGTGCAAGTAGGTAAAGGGCAGCTCCAAAGTGCACCCAGCCCCAATATACTTTTACTTTGGGTTTGTCTGGGCTGTTAATAGCACTGAACTATAAATCTGAACAGTGTTCTGAGCATGAGTGTTTCTTAAACACCTAGTTTGTTCAATATACCCAAGGCATTATATTTTCTTGTCCTTGGCTGGCTCTATCAGGTCTTAGCTGAATGGATTTCAGCCATAGACTATGAAAATAAAACTTCATACCAAGATAAGTTTTAGCTATAGGTAACCAGGAATGCTTCTAAAATTGGGACATGCCATTTTTAATTGCTGGGAAGGTATGGACTGTTATAATATTGACAAGCTCAGGAAAAAAAAGGTGTTTCACAAGAGTGTACAAAAAGGATACATGTGCACATCCTCTACCTAATTAATTTTTGACCACTGTGGATAAACATGTATTTTGGGAACTTTAACAGAGGGCAGAACTGGGAGGAGACAAGATTAAAGCTGCCTAAACCATAGTTTGTGTTAGAAGTTAATGATTCTTCTACCAAGTGCCAGCACAGCCTTGCTTAAGGAGAGAATACTCTGACTTTTGAGCACTTATGTGGTAGTATAACTGCTGTTGTCGTGGATACAGAACGTAGGTAGGAATCTCTTTAATATTCTTTTGGTTTTTCTTAACCTTAAAATGTTGCCATTTAGTGCCTGTGGCTAATGAACATTACCTGTGTAGTACTAGTTGCATTTCCTGTGACCGATAACACCAGTAACATTCCTGTTGTACATGTCAATGCTTTAATGATGGCACCATACATTTGTGTGTGTGTCTCTGAACAGTGAGCATCATATGTCTTGAACAATAAAAACAGCACTGGGGTCTGCACAGCACTGTGATAGTCATTTTTAAATACGTTAAGAAATCATCATAAGACCTTCTATGTTAACCTAATATGAAAAATGACTAAGACAATTGGATTAGCACTGCAGTTAGTGTAAATCAATACAGTTCCCTAAACTACTGGATGAAATGTGGCACAGTGTGTGATTGTTTGTTAGTCTATTGGATGGTGGTATAGCCCTTGAGAGTGCAACTCCAGTCAGAAAGCCTGAGGACTTATAGTGTCTGCAGGATTCAGAAAATTCCTCAAACATCGTTGTATCTTTCTTTGATAAGAATCTACAAAACTTGTAGGAAACTGTTGTCTTGACCTTTGTAAACTAATTACCTATTATTCATGCTAAGGTGTTTAAATTGGTGCTCTGATTCTTTATATTTTGCATATAATTAGGGGGTAGAAAACCAAGCTTAATAATTATTTTTTTTTTAATGTTCACTAATTCATGCTAAGGTGTTTAAATTGGTGCTCTTATTCGTTATATTTTGCATATAATTAGGGGTAGAAAACCAAGCTTAATAATTTTTTTTTAATGTTCACTCAGGAATAGATCTACCTAACAGGCAGAGAGCTAGGCCATGGCCCCTATAAGGTCATATAGCTTTCAGCACTGAAGAAGACCTTTGCAAGCCCAGCTGCTGTACTGTGGCGCAATCTTGTAAGGTGCTGCATGCTTCCCATGAAGTTGTGAAATCTCTCGGTTCCCACCAACACAAACGATCCACATTGATTATTAGTTAAGACCCTTGATCTTCGCCCCTGCAAAGTGTTTCTCAGAAGAGACTGTACTGAGCACAAGACCAAATGAGTTTGTCGAATGTTCCCTGGGTCTGATGGAACTCCTCCTCACAGGAGTTTTGGTGGGTTTTTTCCCCTTATGTGCGTTTTTGGGGAGAGGATTGTTTCCTTTCCTTGAGAAGGAAGTCAGGGTGATTTTTGTTTAGGTGGACTGACTGTTTAAACAGTGCCAATATGTTATTTGACTGATCTCATCTTTCTGCAAAAGCAACTACTTCAGGTCATTATTATGGCAGAATGGCTTGGGCAGGCAAAGCGTAATAGTTTTAGAGAAGTCATGTTAGTGAAAGGACACATTTGGTGCAGAAAACTTCGTACTTTTCCTTTGGTTGTACCCAGATCCTTGGTTTATTAGTCATGGAAAAAACCACTAGTGAAATAAATCCAAAGTAACAACTTTATAAATATTTGAAATTCTCAGGCTCAGCAGCTGCTGTATGTTGACATCAATTGTGAATTGACCTTTTATCTTTTTTCTAATCTTCTTGTGGCATAGCATTTCTCCACCCTTGATCTCTTCTATCTCCAGCAGATTTCCATGTACAGCAAGGTCAACTGAGGGCAGGAGGAGATGTTGCCAGCAGCTCCAACTGTTGATCCTCGCGTATAGCTCACCTTAACATTTCTCCATCACAATTGCATCATCTTTTTGCTTCCTTCTCCGTGTCCTAGCCTTCCCCAGCAACAGTAGCGCCATCTCCAGTAGCATCTCTGCAAAGCAATGATAAGACATGTGTCATTTGTCACTTCCAGGAGCTGATCACCCCTGTTCTTGACTGGAAGTCCTTCCCCTGGGTCACTGGAGGAGCTGAATGCTGACAGTTCTGAGCCAATTAACTTCCACCTGGCTTAACACTTTTCTGTGTGCTTTAAGCATCTTTTGCCCTTTCTCTTGCCTGGTACCCTAAGCTCTGCCTCTGGGTGACTTTTTCACTATTTGCCTCTAACTGCTTAATCTGCTCTTTGATATTTACTGCTTGCACTTTCAATCTTACCGTCCTCCCTTCACAGTCTTTCTCTGAAACATTGACTGGGACAGACTGCTAATATCTAAAGTTCTTCTGCTACATGGGTGGATACCTGACTACCTTTCGCTTTTCTCTACTTTGCCTCCTATTGTTTTCTTCATGTTTCTCTACTTTCACTCCTTATACTGCGATTCTAAGTCAAACAGTACCTTCAGACTCTCAAAAAGGTCACTTTAGTCCTGTGACCCGCAATGACATACCACCTCCATATTTTATTGTAGTTCTTAATGTATCACGATAACAGGGAGAAGCTAGTATCTTCAGATTACACAGAGACAGAAAAATTTCAGAGGATCAGATGCTCGAACATACTTATGGACTGACTTTTCCTGAACTCTAAGAATCTCAGTTCACACACATTTCTGTTGGTAGTTACGCGGACTTGAGGAAAACCTTTCCTCTATTCGTTGTTTCTCTCTGTCCGAGGGCCCAAGTGGAAGGAAAAGGTATTTTTTTTGTCCAGATATGTGTTTTGACCCAGACTTACAGCACAACCAAGGAAGCAGTGGTACTCAAATGAGTCAAGAGTGTGAGAAGCAGATATGAGCAATGGGAGAGGAAAGTTGTTGTTCATACCAGCATCAGTACCTAAGGGCATGCTCAAGAACTTAAGCCTAAGAAGCTCCTAAATTGTTTAAATCTCTGTTTGTTTATGTGGCTGACACATCCTTAGGTATTAACCCTCTTCCATCTGAGTGAAGAAAATTGTCTTTCCCCATCGTGTATTGGAGCAATGCCTACCCTTTTAATGCTATGAAAAGCGTTACTCTGCCATATGGCCTGTACCAGAGTAATTTGCAATTGCAGATGGACTTTTTCCAGCATTGGAAAAGTTCATCCAACTTTTTTCATCTCCATTCAAGCATGGAAAACCTTTCTGTGTGATTCCCCCTCCCCCTTCGCCCTTTTCTCAAATGAGGACGGTACTGTGAAAGGTGAAATAAATCAGTTCCTGTGAGCTATGTTTTCTGAGGTCTGGCTTGGTGCGCCTAGTTTCAATACTCTTGCCTCCTTTGTGTGTGAAGACCTCAGATCTAAAGAAGGTTTGTTTCAAGGGACCCATTTTTTGCCAAGGGGCTCTGCAGTGGCATCTGGATCTTACTTCAGAAATCTGTTCTGTTTGCAGTTGGAGTTACACAAACGGGCAAGTGTTTTAATTCTTTAAACCTTGCAAATAGATACATAGACCCCCCCTTATATCTTTCCATTGCAGTATTCTTTTTACTTGCTTACCCATCTCTCAGATAGAGAGTTTTAAAAAACTAGGAAAAGAAAAAGTTGAAGAATTGCACTATTCATTGCAGTAAAACCAAATTCAACTTAATCATGAAACAAGGCTTTCAACAATAAAAAAAAAAAGTTGTTATATCTAAGGAAGGGAAATATTTGTCATCTATGGCTACAGGGTATGCTCCTCCCAGGGGAACAGGAGCAGTTCTGCTGAACTGCTGAGTTGCAGATGATCTCTTGCATCAGGAGGTATAGACAGCACTCTGCAAACAGAAGAGGATTGGGGATACCATGTATGCTATCACATGAAGAAAAAACATATAAATTCCTTAAAGGGGGAGAAGTAGTTAAAATAATCAAATTTTTTTGTCATTAAGAATTTTTTTCCAACAGGCCAGTGTAAAGGAGTAAGTTGGGTGGCATGGTGTTAGTACAGAGACCTTACCAAACAGTGACTGAGTCCTAAGCCACATGGTCAGCAAATTCAGAGCTTCACTAGGACTCCCTGTGCTTCAGCACTGATGCTTTGTTGACACTTTTAGTTTATTTTTGGACAGAGACTTTGTTCCTTACTCTTTTGTGGGAATTGTGTTTTTAGTGTTAAAAGTCATTCTAGATAAAAAAAATAGGGGAGTGGAAAGGGGAGTGGAAAGTAGTGGGGATAGTGAAGAAAAGGAGGATGTCAAAACAAGATACTTCAGAATTTAAACAAATATACACTTTGAAACACCAAAGTCATTGAACCAAATCCTTTCCAGTGAAAAGGTTCAGTTTTAACATCAGCATTTTCCTGTAACTACTCTTTAATCAGAAAGGTCCTTAAGCAACTCAATGTTGCTATATGTACTTTTGTATTTATTTTTGTGTTTCTTCTGCTTTCAGATCGCTCAATAAAGAAATCAACTATGACGACGGAAACCAAATCCAACAATGTCAATGGCTCAAATCAGGAAGCAGATCCTGCCCAGCTTTTGGATGATGAAGCAAACAAAAATTTACCAGTCAAAAAGAAGACTTCCTGTTGCACTGGCTTGAAGGTTTGGTGCCTTATCTGTATCACTGCAAATTGTTGTTGTCATATGTTGAGAAATTCTAGTCAAGATATGACAGGACAGATCACCATTCCTGTTCCCCCTATTTTTCCTTGAAGTGGATACATACTGGAGGTACAGGGAAGGGTTGGATCTTGTCTTTGTCCTAAAAAAAAAATAATTCCTAATTTAACATATTTACTCTCAAGTCATTCGCAGGTAAATCCCCTTTTTTGTCATTGAAGAGAGGTAGCAACCTCCAGTGGAAGAGGAGAAGCATCCTAAAATTGGTGGCTACAATACCCTGTTTTCTGGAGGTTGCTATTACTGCCCATTCTTGTAGGTCCAAAAAAGGGTGATGTAAGCTGTATTCCAGGACTTTCATCTAATTCAGGGCTGTAGGTCAAACAGTCCACTGATTGCCAAGAATTGACGGAACAATGCAAGTAAACATTTAATGAGAATTTTGCTTTCGTGTTAAAGCCTTAGTATTTATTGCTTCTGGCTGAGCTGCAAACACTACAAGGGCAAGATTTCTTTTGACAATGATGTGTTTGGATTTATATTTTGACTGCTTCTGCAGCCAGATTCATCTCAGGTTAAATTCCAGGGACTCAGTGGAGTTGCAATCAGGGACGCATTTCTCTCTCTAAAAAAGTCTGTAAAATGAAAGACTAATGGAAAACAATAGGTAATTGCAAGCTTCTCAAACATCCAAAATAGTTTGTCTCAAGTAACAGACAAAGGTTGTTATGTTTTTTAATATTATCTGGCTCACATTTTCCATTCTTATAGACCTGCAAAAATAGAATCTGATCTCTCTGGGAGACTCACAGGACTAATTTTGCCATCATGTATGCAGGCAATGCTGCACAACTGTGGATCTATGTCTAACTTAATGGCAATTAGAGTTTAACAGACACAATACCTTGGAGATAATAACAGACAAACTGTTACGGTTCCTCACCATCCCATCAAATGTTGTGTGGTTTACCTGGGGATTGCATTTTCAAACCAAAGATACCCAAGTAATTTTTGTTTGTGTTTTCATGCTTATCAGCAGTTTCTGATTTCAACCAAAACCCATGAGAACACCGCTGCTATACTGCAAGAAGGGTGGTTCTCACCGACCTTTTGCCAGTCAAACTCAGGAAAAATAAAACACATTAGGACAAGCCTGTACTTGTGAGATTTTTCTCTTGTTTCTTGACAAGAAGAGACTAAATATACCTGTTTCCAAGCTTTTAGTTCCTGGATTGGCTTAATTTCTTAAAGTAGATAGTATTGCAAAGTCTAAATTTGTATTTGCTTTTGTTTACTGACCCAACATTGTGTTGTATTGGAACTTTTACCCAGTGAGCAATAAGTCTATTTGTTTTTTAGACTATGTTGAAATAGTTGGATAATATTTAAACAAACTTATTTTACCTTTTTATCAAATACATCTTTATTTGCAAAAGCCACAATGTGTGTTGGTGGGAGCAACTATAAAATTGCAAAGAATATGAAGCTTTCCTTTAAGAGGTATATGGTATTCCTAATCAGAAGTTATGTATAAATGTCACAAAGGTGACAGAGCCATAATCCACACATTTCAAAATATGTCATTTGAGACAGAGATTAGCTCAATTGGTTTTTACCACCTTCCACATACTGGATTATCATAAGAACTTGCATAAGGCCTTCATTTTGATGCCATGGCTAGTTGAGTTAGAACCAGTTACAAACTGGCCTGAAATCAGTGACATGTGGCTCAAGCAGAAGACAATTGGGGCTAAGATTAATTTTAGGTTGGAATAGTGTCATTAAATTTATCTTGATGAGGTACTTCATCTCTGCCAAATTTTACATTTCTGCAACACCTAGAAATTTAGAAATCCCGCCATTTTGGCTGCCTCAGCTATGGGGCCTCAGCTTTTTGACAAATTTAGCCTCAGGATGCCAGTAAGGTAAGCAGTCCCCAGTGAGTTTTTTGCCAAATTTAAGTTTTTCATAGTCCATAGGATATCTACTTTGGAAAACCTGTGGCCAGCAATGTGGAGAAGATCAGGCTTTTTGGTCATTAAGATGTCCACAGCAAACCTGAGCCCTAAAGTAAGCGACTGCTCTCAGTGCAGCACAAAGCACCAGCCCTCTCCAGCAGGGAAAACCAGAGCAGGAGCAAACATTGCTGAGAGACCACCCTGAGGGTACATGAAAATCCACACACAACTTTGTCACTGCGATTTGAGTAACAAACCTATCCCATGATGATGATTGCTCCACACGGTTTTAAACTTATCTGATCCCTTTGTGACCAGTTTCCCTGCTTCTACCTCCCATTTTCTGTCTTAATCTTTCCTCAGGTATTTCTCGCTGCTTTATCATTCAGCTACTTGAGTAAAACTTTGTCTGGTACAATTATGAAAAGCTCCATCACTCAGATTGAACGAAGGTTTGACCTGACCTCTTCTACTGTTGGGTTCATCGATGGGAGCTTTGAGATGGGTAATTGATTTTTCCTAACATGCAGAAAACTGTTCAGAGAAGTATGAGGCACAGCTCCTGCCATTAATTTTGGTTCGTTACCTTCCAGGTAACTTGCTGGTGATTGCATTTGTAAGCTACTTTGGAGCTAAACTTCATAGGCCCAAAGTAATCGCTGTTGGATGCTTCACTATGTCTTTGGGAAGTTTTTTAACAGCAATGCCTCATTTCTTCATGGGATAGTAAGTACCAATCAAGATCGATTTGGGTAACCTAACATTGGAATTGGATGCTGCTGTCTGGTTTTTGAATGAAACGTATTGTATATTAAGTCCTGGATTTCCAAAGGCCTATAAAATCTCACCTCAATGTGCAATGAATCATGTTTGACAAACACACACATCATTGTTCATTTCACCCGGTTGGAAAAATATGGTTCTTCTGAAGTAAAAGTTCAACTTCTCAAAAAAATCTGGAAAATCAAAATGTTCTAGATTTCAGTCAGACTTGCTCAGAAAAGAGGCAGAGAAGGAAATGATTTTACAAAATCATCACATTATTTTTATTCAGGAGGAAACACCTATAAAAACCATATGACAATTCAAGGTTCAAATTAAATATATTGTTCTTTGAAAATCTCCAGCCATGCTACTGTGCTGGTGCTATTGCTTTCATGAATTAAAGAACACCTTAATGGGAAAATCAGTGTTGACCTAAGAACGTGGCATCATTGGTTGCTAATAGAGATGTGAGAATCATGTAGCCAGGGAAGTCAAACCATTATGAACCACAGTAAAATGACAAGGGATGTAGAATCCTCCTGTATGATTTCAAGAATAAGTTTGTGCTGTTTTGAACAGGACCTCAAAGCTCTGAGCAGGTAACTTCATATTGAGTGACATTTCTATCTGAAATATGATGTTAGAATAACATGGAAAATCAGGGATTCAGGCTTCACTCCTTGATAAAACAACACACAAAGGTGCTCTTTAGAAGAAGTCCTGCTCCTTGAAAGAGGAGACCAGAGTCATCTTGTGTAAGGTTGTGTATGTTGCTCTCATGGGGCAAATAGCTGCTCCTCACACAAAACAGCCTCTCAGCTTCAGATGGATCAGTGCTGGTAGAACAGGTACAAGGGGGTTTCCTGTTCCAAATGCACATGGCTGGTTAAACTGCTCTTCCATAGCTGGTAAAGTTTTTAAATTCATCTTCTCCAGGCTCAGAGGTTTACCGTGTGTTGCTTGTATGTGATGATGTTTCTAGCCATAGCTTTGATACAGTGGCAGCGTAGATTAAAATATATTTCTGTTGCTCTCTTAAATGCATTAGCATAATTTTAGGCATACTGCTGTAAAAAGAAAACTAAGGAATGCTGGTTTTTTTATCATGACAGTGGATCTTGCACTACCATCAGACTTGTGTTTTCCACTGCTTAAGCCAAACTATGCATCTTGCTCAACTCCACCGGGAAACTCACCCAGTTTCCCATGTACCTGTGCCTGAATTTTTATGAGGAAATTGTTCTGCACTGTCTCTCCCGATGAATGCTCTTTGTTTCAACCTGAAAAGTAAGCCTGCCCCATCTAACAGAGCCAGCCCAGTTCCTAGAAGCAGAATGTGTGCTTTACCGTGTTGTTCTCCTTAAGCTAATTGTACTTTGCACCTCAGCAGGGCTCCTATCTGGGAAAAGGATCATGCTAAAGCAGCCAAACAGTTCCAGCACCTCAACTGCTGCCCCACAGCATTGCTCTGCTCCCTGTAAATACCGCTAAAGAGTGTCTTTTTAGCCACTAACTTTATTCACCTGCTGCTATACAACAGCTCTTTCTAAAGCCAACGCCAACGATCAGGCAAACAGGTGCCTCCTGAGGATGACTTCTCCCTTCCTCATGCTCCTCCTCCCCCCAACCCCAAAAAGAAATATCTACGGTGAAAAGCAGGACTCACAGTCAAGATATTCTTCTTTTTCTCCTTGACTGTGGAGTGAGCACAGGGAGCTCACTTGGACCCGAACCTAAATTTCAATACTGACGGTTCAGTTCTACCTGAATTACTTTCAAAAGCCCTTTTGCATTTTACAGCTTAAAATGTAATGTCTTCTAGACAGGTGTTTCTAACTTTTATTTTTTCTTCATTTTAGTGTTATGGTTTTCCAAAATGAGCTGAAATAATCTTTTTTTTGCTCCTTCAGTAGCTCTTTGGGTTGATATTTAAACCCAAAGATACCTTTCTCTTTAAGGAAACAGCAGTCAAGTGATTCCTGCCCTACTACACTAGTATTTCCCTCCTGAACACTGCTTCTAAACCTACTGTTGTGTGTTTCCAGTTACAAGTATGAGACAGCTTCACATACAGCTTCTTCAGCCAACTTAACTTCACGCATCAATCCCTGTTCCCTACATCAAGGTGGGAACAAAACCTTGTTGGAAGTCTCCCAACCAGGTAAGGAACCCTAAGTGTAAGTGCAAACAGAAGAGCTGGTTTTATCCTTGGTTGCAAGTGAAGTAGATCATTGCACCATGCAAGACGCTCAGTTAGATTTCCAACTTCAGTCTCCATCTGTCTGGGAAAATTACCAACACTTAAATGCACTTTGTGCATGCCATTTAGAGAAGAAACACCCAGAAAACACAACTTACTAATATCCAGATCCACTGTTTCTTATGTTCACACTTCCAAATTACAATAAAATCACTGAGTACTGAAAGGGAAGCTGAGACCCTCAAGACGTCTCTGAAGGAATTCAGTTACCCTGGACCTGGAGTTGGGGAGGTGAAAGATATAACATGCAAGGACATGAAACTTCACAGGGTTAACTGGAAATAAATGGAGATTTCTATGATTTCGCTTACTATACGGAATACAGCTGTTTTACTTGTTGCCTTGTGTGTGACAGGCAGAGAAAGAGCCAAGCTGAGCCCCAGAAACCATCTCAAACTTATAAAGACACATGTCAGAATATATACATAGGGCAATATCAATCTGCCATATTTTTTTTACACAAGCATTTTTTCTTAAGGGTGATACTTATCTGTATTTCTAGAAATCAAATACAATAGAGGTGGAGTAAAGTGTTATTAAAAGATTATTAAAAGGTAAAATGAGGTTGATGGACTTTCTTTAATCTTCCATGAGGATAATGCTGTTAATACTGTAAATTCTAAACTATAATCATTTCATGTGCTGTGATTTGTCACTGTTTCCCATTCAACTATTCCATTACAAAGATGTAAACTCATTATCTGCAGGCTGTGAGAAGGAACCGTCATCATATATGTGGATATATATCTTACTGGGAAACATGTTACGTGGAATTGGTGAGACACCAATAACACCATTGGGGATCTCTTATATTGATGATTTTGCTAAAGAAGAGGATGTTCCTGTGTATGTAGGTAATCTCAACATGAAATAAACAGAGAGATTCGTAGTGTCAGATGTGAATCATCTTCTGCAGAAGAAAACATTCAGCCATTAAAATGTACTAGCATCTCCTTCATTATATTTTCAGCATGTTTGCACACAATAGCCATGTTGGGCCCAATGTTTGGTTTCCTGTTGGGATCTTTATGTGCAAGACTGTATGTGGACATTGGATTTGTGGATTTAGGTAAGCAAAATGGAGGTAAAGTGAAAGTAAACTAATACCTGTGGCTAACAGGTTCCTCTACATGTTTGCATAATTTTTTATTATATTAATTACCTTAATATAATTTTTTTCATTTATATTGAGATCATTAATTTTATTATATACTTTATTTAAATGTTATTAAATTACTAAAAGCCTCTAGGGTAAAGGCAGAATTAGACAGGGATCATATTTTAGAACTGTGTTTTAGGATTAAAGGATTGAAATGCACGTTTAACTTTATAAATTAGTACCAAGAACTCTCACAGACCAAGATGTTCTACTAAACTGGTATCGTAATCAAAGGATTCTGATAAAATAGTGGCTTTATGGTTTTTGATGGATTATCCACTCTTTCAACTGAACATTTTACGTTATTTACCATTCCTGTGGTGTCTGCAATACATTATACACTTTTTGCCAGCTCTTGCCTATTCAGGTAAAAAGAAAACACACGTATGTAGTCACGTTTTCGAAATGGCAGAGGGAACAGATGTGTCTTGGACCTGCATCCTTTTCCCTTTCAATGGAAGAGGACACAGGTCCATCTCTGAGGTGGTGTTTCCTGGCCAGCCCAGCTCCCCACCCACTGGACCAGCTGGATGGGAATTCAGACAGTGTGGACAGTGTGGACCCTTTTCCCTTTCAGGAAAAGGGGTAGCAGCAGCAGCAGGTGATCCTGTTTTACTAGCTGGACAGAGCACCTTTCAGATCCTCAGGATCCTGTAGTTAGACAGAGGAACTATTCTGTCTCTGCCCTTTGTTAGGCCAATGCTTGATTTCGCTTAAGCATAAGGACAGTGAGCCAATTCTGGTCATGCAGTGAAAAGTCTTTTAGTGTTGGTCCACCAGCAAACATGCCAGTGTAAATAATAAAAATACAACCAACTAGCCTTGTCTTCCTTGGAATACAAAGTTTAACGTTGTGGTTAATCTCACCAGTGCCACGGAGAGTGTCTAGATGCTTAATAGTAACTGACACAATTCAGTTTAGCAGAGGATGGTCTCAATAGAAATATCTACCCTAAAAGGACCCCATGCTTGAGGCCTGTCTGCCACCTGTTTTGGTGTCCTATATGTTGGATAAGGACCTCCGTGTTGCCATGTATGCCACAAAATGGCAGTCAGAATGTCATGTAGAAAGGCAGATGAAACATAACAGCACTGAGGGTATGACTCCTCAGGCCTTCACTGCATGAACGGTCTCTCATTAGATGATTATTGTTACCACTGAAAATCAGACGTTGCAAAATGTAGCTATTTTAGCAGATAAAGGGTGCAAAGCTTCGGCTTCTTCATTTAAGTGACTTGTATCTGTTTCCCTCAATTCCAGGAAGCATCACAATCACCCCACAGGATTCCCGCTGGGTGGGTGCATGGTGGCTTGGTTTTGTGATAGCTGGAGCAACCAGTTTCCTAGCTGCTATTCCATTTTGCTTCCTGCCAAAGAGACTGAAAAAGCCAGAGGAAGCAAATAATGACAAAACTTCATTTGGTCTCTTGGAAAACATGGGCGCCACGAAGAAGATGCTTCCTCCTGCAAAACCTAAGCCAAGGAGGTGTTCAGAAATATTGAAAGGCAAGTGTTTTGCATTATGTATAAATTTGAAAAACAAGAGGCGCAATGTACACTGGGAATGTAATAGTTCTGCAGAATATCTTGCTTCCCCTGCACTTCAGTCTAAACCAGTTAGCTATCTCCAGGAAAATCCACTAAAGATTATTAGAAGTCAAAGGTCTTCTTCAAGACTGTGAGGTTCTATATGCATCACCAGCAATGCATCATCACCCGATGGCACCTACCTGTAAAATTTTATGCTAGAAGATATTTGAAGAGTGGAAAAAATGTTTCTGTATCAGGATCTAAAGAAAATATCACAGAGCTCATGGAGCCGCTGAAGCTCATTGGTGCCTGAGGTGAACACAACAGGACTGAATATCAGCTCTGATTGGGCAGTCATTAGGCTAAGAAAGGGGTGGAATGGTGTGGGGAAGTGATGGCTTTGCATCATTAGTCAAATTCTCCTGTCTTTGTTCAGATCCCAATGGAAGACATTGGGCATCTCCACAAAGGCACCTCTCGCTTAGACTTGAACCTGTGATGATATTCATGTAAGCTGAAAGAAGTCTTTGCTGTGTGGACCCCTTCAGTCTTCATGTGCAGATCTCACTAGAGCACCCAAGCTTTAACCCATACTTCTGTCTTCTAGGATTCTCTTCCTGCATCTCAAGCTCTGGTGTTTTTCAAGAACCTAATTTTGCTTTCAGATACTCGCATGTAAATGAAGATCGGTACAACTTGCACTTGGACAACTGAGAGAAAGATTTTACCTGAAGTTTCATAGATTACTCAACCATAATCATGCCATGCATCTTCCAAAGCCAACTCATATATCCCTTTCTTGCAGGTTTCTGTACCTCCCTGAAAAAAGTATTGAGTAATCGAATGTACTTTACGCTTTTGTGTTGCTCAGTGTTACAGTTCAATAGCTTTATTGGTTTCTTGACTTACAAACCAAAGTACATGGAACAGCAGTATGGACAATCTACATCTAAATCTAACTTTCTCATAGGTGAGTTACCCTGTGCACTGTGCATGGGGAGACGTTCTGGCATGCTTTTTCTGGGACTGAATTCCTTGCAGAACAGGCTGACCTAAATGACGATCTCTCCTGAATTTGAATTGTATCCAGGCAGCATACAAACTACAGTTTTGGTGCCTATAGGACTAGAAGAAATATTCTAGTTTTGTCTAGTCTATTAATACTTATTATATTATAGCAAGGGCACCCCAATTATGCAATGAATGAAGTGTGGAAATTTTAAATGCTGCAACATCTGACAAGTGCCTTGCAATGGAAGTAGGTTTTGAGGGTTAAGGCACTTCAAAGATAGCATACACAACCCAAGGGTTAGGCTGAGCACAAAGCCACCTAGAATCGTCATAGTACAACATAGAGCTGCCAGGGATATCAAACTGAGGATAGAATTCAGCTCTTAAACTAATGAGGTGGGCTTTTAAACCCAGTGTGACTGTATTTTGACATTCCCTTTCTATTCTCTATTTCAGGCTTGACATCCTTACCTCCTGTAAGTATTGGGATTTTCCTAGGAGGGCTCATAATGAAAAAGTACAAAATGAGCATCATTGGAGCAACCAAGTTTGCATTTACCATGTCATTTCTGGCTTATGTCATTGCTCTTTCACACTTTTTTGTTGGCTGTGAGAACCATATGGTAGCAGGAATGACAGTATCCTACGAAGGGTGAGTATAAACCAAAGAAGAGTATGTTTTATTCCATGGCACCAATAGTTCAAAAAATGTACCATGGCATCAAGGCTAAAAGAGGAATATGTTTTTGCAATGCTTAAGAGACAATGAACACTATCATGTGTCATCATTCTGGTAGTTTTGTTGGTCAGCAGAGTGTCAGCCTGCCAAAGCAGAACACTGGTTAAAGATTAATCAAAAATACATTAGCAAAATTGCATCATTACCCATGTAGGTTGTTTGGCTGTATGTGGGATGGTATTGCTGTTTCAAGCAGTCTGTCTCTACACCAGAAGCAATTTTCTACCGAAGCTTATTCAGATTCAGTAAAAGGGTGAAGCATGTGTTAACGGAGAACGTTGGTAACATCTCTGGAACAGAAACAGAAAGACTGCGCTGTGCTAGTTCTCTCAGCCTGCTGTAAAACATAATGAAGCTTTTATGCCTGCTGACGATGTTCTCTCCTCTTGAGAGAGAACCAGGATTTAAAAGTTAAGGGCTGCTCTTTTATGGTTGGAGTAAGTAAAGATGCCAGTACAGGAGATGAGTGCTAGGATCTGGCTGTCCAAGGGGTCCAGCAACATGCTAGCACATGGGTTGTCACTACCTCGAGTACCTCATGGCTAGTGTGAACCTCTCTGCATCTCCCTGAAGGCTTACCCACAGTTCAGTAATGTGTCACTATTGTTCATTTATCAAGCCATACTGGTTCACAGCTGAAAACGTGGAACTGGACAGGCAGGATGCAAAGGATGTGTATATTTGTTGGAACCAGGGGACTAATTGTTGCTTGTCCTTTATCCTGCAACGTTTTCACTAAGAATGCAAATCGTGGACCAGGGAACAGGCTTAGTAAGCACTGAGGTGACAGAGATGCCAAGCACATAACCTTAATTAACCCAGAAAGGAGAAGATTAGGGAAGACATCCCTCTTTACTTCCGATCTCAATACCCAAAGAACGTCTGAAAGTAAAAGGGAATGCTGCATTCTCTACATCCTGTAGGAAGAGTTAGACTAGATTTTAAAAAAGGAGTATTTTTAATTATGGAGACCAGGAAATCTAGTTTCTGTAATGGGTACATTATTACCAACAGCTAAATATCTGCTTTATAAAGCTGTAATAACTGTTGCTAGCGCTCCATACAATTAGGAGATGGAGACCTGACGTCTCAAAGCCTTTTGGCTATTCCTTTTTCTTTTCTGTTTACACCTGCCACCCAAAATCAGTAGCAGCATTTTTATTTGTTCGAAAATTCTTTATAACCTAGTAATCAGTTTAGTATCAGTGCAAGTGGGCTGGAATCTCGAGCAAAGAGTTCAATACTGTAGAGACTCAACTATGAAAACGTAGGTTCTGGGTGTATGAGGTGGGTTTCAGCACAGCAACACTGTCACACAGAAGGGACTACACTGACCTCAACATGGAATTAAAAGTTCTTACACCTGTCTGAACTTAACTTCCAAGCAAACCCATTCCATACCATGAAAATTCCATATTTTCTGAGTGCAACTCTGACTGCAAATGTGCCTCCAATGTGTGGGATCCTGTGTGTGGAGACAACGGGCTCACGTATGTTTCTGCATGCCTAGCTGGGTGCACGGCTTCAGAGGGACATGGAAAGAACACGGTAAGACTCTGCTTCAGTTTCTAGGGGTTTTTTTACTGGCTTATTTTCCATGTAACTTCTGCGATTTAGTAGTATAATGCATTTAAGGAAAGCCAAAGTTACTGGGCGCCAGTCGGTACAATATTTATGATTTCTGGCTACAAACAGCACAGAAGACATAGGGACTTCTGCGAGCACATTAAGCAAAAAAACCTAGGTCCTTGTTGTAGATCGTAGCTTTCATCTTTTGTAAATTGAATAAGAGGGGGAAACAAACAATTCAAAGTGGTTACATGTTGTCTGAAGTTTGTCCATGGCTTGCCATGAGGTTTCATAAACCTCATTCCGGCTGCCTTGAGGTTTTTAGCCAAGTTGAAGTACACTAAGACAGTGGCGCATCTTCCCTGATACTGATCATTAATGTGTAAGTATGAAGAATGATTTGAGGGGAGGCAGCTAGTTTCCTCCTTGTGAGACTCGCAATGGCAAGGTACACTGCCTCTTTTTCTGGGTGACTGATTTCTGCTCAGCTCAGGGTGCTGGGGGTGATGCGCAGAGTCCCAGAGAGGCAGCTCCAGCCTGTGGATAGAAGCCTTCATTGGACTGTGTCATGCCCATGTTTTGTGATGCCAGATGATCACTCCAGTGGATACACAGCCTAGAGCCATCTCGTGCAGTCAGAGAGAATTTTCTCTCCAGCAGATTTTAATTTGTGGCTCGTTTCCATCTGACGTCTATGGTCATCTTCTCAAAAAGACATGCTGTGCTTAAAATCTTAAGTTGGGAGGCATGGGAGAAGGTCTCAACAGGTCCCGTCACAATGGAATTACTGCCTCCCATGCAAGTCTGTCTCGGTAGAGGTTAAGGTTTGTGGCTCACAGTTCCCCTTACCTTAGTGCCTCCTCAAGCTCCTCAGGCCTGGTTAAAAGCTATTGCTCCTAGACTACCATCAGCTCCTACTGCTGATCTCAGGGCTCTGCATGAGCCACGTCTTGGCAGGTCGCTGTTGTTTACAGCCACGAGATACCTCTCAGAATTAGCAGAGAGGGACCTGTGAGCAGTGGTGTCCCCTGGCAGCAAAAGGCACAGCTCCCTGAGCTTCGCTGGTCCTCTTCAGCTGCCCTCTGGGGACACAAAAGCTGGTGCCAACCTGAGAGGTCCAGCAGGTGCTCCAAACATCTTCCAAAAACCTGTTGTGATGTTGCCTAGCACAAACATGCTGGCACAGAATGCCCCTTCTAACTCTGAGCACTCTTTGTAGGAAAGAAAAGAAGCAGCTGCTGCCCATTGCCCCAAGAAAGGCAAATAAGATAGGGATGAGGTGTTTAGGAAGGCTTCAGGTGCTGCCTGTGCTTGAAGGCAGGATTCCCCATGGCATAAGCAGTGGCCTACCAAATCTGCTTTGTGTCTTCCAGGTCTTCCATAACTGCAGCTGTCTTGCAGCCAGCAGCTCGTGGACAGGAAATAACTCTGTCACCTTGGGGCAATGTCCAAAAAGTGAAGATTGTTCCAGGAAGTTTATTTATTATACAGTAATACAGGTCATAAGTGGCTTTTGTTACGCATTGGGAGGTACCCCGGCATACATGATTATGTTTAGGTAAGTAAAACTCTGTACCAAAGGTTGAGGCTTTCCAATGAGGGGGATCAAAATGATATTTAGGTTTCTCTCTTTTCCTGAGCAAAAATGACTCTTTTGCAGTATAACATGCCTTCTTTAATGAGTTTTGTCGCTTCCCATTTTTTTGTAGCTGTTAGCATCAAACTTTGCTGCTGTCTGTAAGAAGTCAGTTCCAGTGTGTTGCTTCCAACTGCTGCCAAATGGTTTCTCTTACGCCTGTCATCCGCCCAGGTTTTCCAGAACATGTTCTTCTTCTCTGCTTGGGTGTTGTGGCTGGATGGATTTTGAAAAGGCCATGCATTTTTCAGGATTTCTGGATGTGGGGTTGCCCTAACAAATTGTTCTTAGGAGATCTGGAAATTCAGGGCCCCCGAGGGCTCAGCCTGAGGCTCCTGTGCTCACTTCTGTTGAGGTACACGAGCGCAGGCATACCAGGATGTGATTTGGAATCACATCTACAAATTAGCACGTACTTTTCATGAACCTGAAGAGAGAGTTCACCCAGTAGAAAAATACATCAGTGGCAAATGTAACGGTAATCCTAAGGGCATTATGTCATCCTAAATGAGCATGCAAAACAGAATGCAAACTCCCCTGCCTTCCTCATCTCTGTGAGATGTCTTTCTGAGTGTTGACCACATTAATATTTATCAGGCGATAGCAGAGGCTGGATAAGTGATGGATTCAAGAGCAGTGCCCATTTCTGATGCTTGGAGTGTGGTTCCCCAGGAGACAGATGGGCATATTGCCGGATGGCTTTGTGTAGTTCGGGATGTGGCATTGTAGAGAGGAATGTCATTCAAGAACAGAAAGATGCCGCACTAAGGCAGCTACTTGCAATATTTTTGTCTTAGGGAAATATGATATTTCCCATCAAGTGAGTAAGGTATATCCCATCGCATGAGGAAAATGTAACAGAGGGATTTAAGGCAGTTGAGATCCCATTTCAATAAGACTAGGATAGATTGTAATTATGACTTTAAAATTTCACTTCTTTAATTATACTGAATGGACTTCCCAGGAGCCATGTGATGAAAGACAATAGTTTAATTCACCTTTTTTATACCACTTAAGGTATTTTGAGCAGACGTAGGAAGCACTCTCCTTCCAAAGCTTGGCTTTCCGTCGTTAAGAGTATTAAATTCAGGGTAATTAACAGCAGTTTAATAGGCATATCTGAGCACTAGATAGGCAAATAGTTCATACTTACCTCTCTTTCTTTCAGATGTGTTCAGCCAGAGTTGAAATCTCTTGCAGTTGGTCTATACACACTTATGATGAGAATTCTAGGTAAGAGAAATCATTCTGCTTGCTCATATGGCTTTAAATTACTCCAGTGCAATCACCATTTGTAAACCAGATGTATCCTTGAAACAGCTCTTAGACCCTGGCCTCTTCCTGAAGATGCTTTTTTTTTCCTGCATGCTCTTTCCATTGCAAGAAGGGGTAGAGCCACTGCCACCAATTCGAAAAAGCTGGCATTTCTCCTCAGTGACTCAGAGATCAAATCTGATGTGCTCCCGTTTTCCTTCTCTAAGGAACCTCTACAATGAGTTTTTGTCCCATCATACCTGACTACAGCACTGATGATTGTAATACACAGAATAGATTGATTACTGAGTTCAGACTCTCACGAGAGCCCTAGGGCAGAACAGGATGAGTATACCTGTTTTTACAAAATAAATTATTTCCTATGTAAGAACGCAGGATGCTCCTGTAGGAACAAAACTAATGTGAAACATGGTCCTGTACACGCTGAAACCTGGATTCCTCTGAAGCTAATACTTGCCTTTACTTCAGCCAAGCTAGGATTTTGTCCCATGTGTGACATGTTTTGCAGTAGAACATAAGTTCATATCTGGCCAAGTCACACTAAGGGTTTTGGTTCCTTGACCTTCAATTGGGCAGAATGGCCTGTCCACTAGTGTGGACAATTTAGGCTATGCTTAAGAAGAGGGAACTATGCATCAGTTCAGTGCTTCAACTATGCTTCAGTCCAGCTTCCCCTTCATAGAATGATACGGGGTTGGAAGGGACCTCTGGAGATGATCTAGCCCAACCCCTTGCCAAAGCAGGTCCACCCAGAGCAGGTTGCACAGGAACGTGTCCAGGCGGGGATTGAATGTCTCCAGAGAAGGAGACTCCACCACCTCCCTGGGCAGCCTGTTTCAGTGCTCTGCCACTCTCACAGTAAAGACGTTCCTCCTCACGTTGAGGTGGAACTTCTTATACTCGAGTTTGTGCCCATTTTCTTAGCATGCACTGGAAGCCAGGGATGGTTCTCAGAGAAGTGCTTGAGAAATTAATGTGCATGACTACGAGCCTGGCCAAACCCATCAGACCACATTTCCCGGGGACAGAGAGGGTATCCCAGCCTACAGTTACTCTCATCAAGAAAAGGAAATACTCCCCACAGTCCAATCCACCTATTGCCACTATTCCAGCATGTAGCCTGCCACTGAAAAATATAAAGCTGATGGCTACAAAGATGTATTTTCCTGTGATATCTTGTGCCATTATTGCTTGTTTCTACGCAGCTGGGATTCCAGCACCGGTTTATTTCGGTGCGCTGATTGACAAGACGTGCTTGAAATGGGGCAGCACAAGCTGTGGGCAGCGAGGGGCCTGCAGGCTGTACGACTCCGATGCGTACAGGTAAGGCAAATAAGGGTGCAAAAAAAGCTCCTGCATTTCCTCTTTACAGACAGACACGCTTTGTTCTGTTATACTGTAGTGCGTGAGGCCACTGATCAAAAATTATGGTCACATACTCACTCTGGACTCGGATTTAGGTCAGTCCAGAATTCCTGAAATTGAGAAACCTTAAGATCACATCTTAAGCTCTTAGCTTTTCAGTCAGTTTTTACATTGTGCAAAAATCATTTAGTATCAATGACAGACTTTCTGGAATTAAACATGCACTTTTAATATCTTTTGAGTCAATTTAAAAGACCTGGGATTGTATGATTTGCCGTCAAGAGGAAAGGTACCCAAATTTACATCATTTGCAGGTAGTCTGGCAAGACTGTTAACTTTGTGCATTGGCCACATTTGAGAGAAAAATAAATGAAAGAAAATCATGCTGAGTAGCTGAAGGCACTGGTTAAACACAAACAATATTGGTCTCCAGGAGGAATATTCCTGATATTTTCCTGTTTCACCCAAACCCTGGGCACTTCTGATGTGTTATTCATTTTTACATAAAATAGCCCACGCTGTCAATCTCTATACATATCTAGCCCCAAAAAAGTCTAAGAGCTTGAAGTGATCTGAAAATCGTTAGAAACAAAGGGAAGTTGATGGAAGTTTTACTTTGCAACAATCTTCATAAGCAAAAAGTAGTCTATCAATTCTTTTGCCAGCAAAAATGTCCAGCTCGTGGTACCATTCACATAGAATGAGTTTTAACGTTTCCCGCTAAGCTACTATGTCATTTTTGTTAAGGTTATGTGGTCCTTAATAGCCATTACAGTGATTTTCTTGAGTATCTTTGAAAACTTCAACGCCTGGCGCTATCTTCTGTGCTCCATCCCACAGGTATGTCTTCCTTGGTTTAGCAGCGCTGTTAAGAGGTCCTTCCTACTTGATTTCAATTGTTTTTTATATATTGGTAAAGAAACACTTTCAAAATAAGAACTCCACACCTAGAGAGAATGGAGGAAGAGAAGATGGTCCTATAAATACAGAAGATAATTGCAAGATCAAAGAACGTTTGCCAGGTTTTTCTGATGCAGAGAATGAATCGTGTATTTAGAAAGCCATTTGGACCAGTGTCACGTGAATCAGGACGGCTTCTTTTAGAAACAACTTTCACAATGTTATGAATAACTAAATAATAACACTGTTCAGAAAGTAAAGCTAATAGCAAACCCGTGATCAACAACCAGAAAAAGTAATATACGAGTATAAAAGTGCCTTAACCCGGTTACCAATAACAGGGCAAGTTACATTAACTGAACAAAATTCTCAACAGATAAAGGAAATCCTCCCTTGGCATTTCTGATAGATCCAGTCTGTAATTTTTAAAGGGATTAAAGATGACTGCTGGCAGAACAGCCACATGCCAAAGGCCCACCAGCTGTGATGCTGACCCTGCACACAGGGCCATGCAGCAGACTGCCACGGGAATAAGGCTAGCAGCAGTGTTCGGATTTCATCAAATGCAGTCAGAATTCACAATAAAACAAAAGCCTTTAAGCAAAATTTTTCCACCTTATCGAAACCAATCGTTGCCACAATTTTCCATTGCAAAATTGACAAAAGCAGTATTTTTCCAAGAAGCATTTTATCTTAGCTGACCTGAAAATTTTATGTCTACTTAAATTTAAATTTAAATCTACTTAAATTAAATTTTATGCCTACTTAAACTACAAAGATGTTGCCATAAAGAGGAAATAATTGTTTTATGCCTACTTAAACTACAAAGATGTTGTTGCCATAAAGGAAATAATTGTTTTTTTAAAAATCTCAGAGTTTTAGTATGTATTAAAAACTAATTATTATTTTTTTTTTTTAGTTAAGTGACTATGAAACACAAGAAATAATCTGACTTTTGTAGGGATGTTGCTTTCCAAGCAAGGCCTAGCCAACGCGTGCTGGTGGCTTTATTGCTATGGCATGTGCTGTCCAGCAGAGGGCACTCCAACAATAACGTTGCCCCTGTGCCAGCTGCAGGCACCCTCTGCGAATTGGTCAGGCTCAGTCTTCCCTCTTTTGGGAGAAATTCAGCATCAGGCAGGCAAAAACACTCACCTGTGTTTTCATGCCCCTTCAAACTTTCTCAGCTCCAGCCCCAGCCCCTCAGCTCATACATTCAACGTTGGTTTTGTGTGTTTTGTTGGTTTGTGTTCATCTTAACCCGTGTCATTCGGAGCTTGACAAGCGTTGTTACTTTAAATAAAAAGGATGTGTGCTTGCCTACCGTTTCACAAGAGCGATTGGATTCTCTGGTTGATACTTTAAAACAGATGCTGAAGGCTGAGTGGGAGATGGTTAATAGACACGTTAGATGAAAAAGTACATTGAGCAAAATCCTGAGCTGGTCTGAAATAAGTGTTGTCTGTCGTGACAGTCACTTAGTAGTGATAGCAGCAGCTGAAGGAAAAAGAATGGGGCTTTTTTTTTTTTTTCCAAATGAAGTGATATCTACTGGAGGCAGAGATTCTCCATCCAGCAAAACTCATTATGACTCTGCTGGGTCTTTTCTTATAATTATATTTGCAAATGTTTTGGTATCTTCAATATATCCACAGGAATGACCTGTGAGAACTAAAGGAATGAACAACCATCGAACTTGGGAGCGAATCTTAGGGAAACTAATTGCAACTATCTAATTCTGCTTGTCTTTCTGCTGCTTTGTCCAGATGATTTTTTTTTTTTTAGCATGTCTTGGAGTGTATGTAATTTCCTATGGTGTCTTTAAAGCCATGGGTTTGGTTAAGATATCTTTAACCAAAAACCCGGTAACCTTTGAAAACATATTTCATGTGACAAAATATACCAGGTTTAACTGAAAACAAGAGCTAATTCTAGATGACAGATTGTGAGAATTATGCATGAAGAATCGATGTCAAAAGGAAGTGTTAAGCCCTGTAGCTATTACTACAGAATCATGAGGACAAGGAGGTGTCAATAAACTGGCCTCTTTGGGTACAGAGGAGAAGACTGGTACAAGAGGATGATAAACTGCTTCTAGAAGGGTTTTACCCCCTTTCTTTTAAAAAAAAAAAAATAATGACAGGGTGCAAAGCCCCACTGCCTCTGGGTGCCACAGCAGCTCAGCAGCTGATAGAGAGTGTGCCCAACACTTTGATTTGTTGTCAGTTGTGAAAAAATGGCCGCCTTCCCTCCATCATTAAAAAGCTGCAGCTGTAGCCCATGGGTCTGTGATGGAAGGGGAGCAAACAGGACAAATTCTCTTCTCTCCCACTGCAATTCCTCAGTTACTGCAGTTTGTGCTGCTGTTGTGTGCAGTGCACGCACACGTGTGTGCACATGCACAAAATGGCAATCTCTGCTGCAAGACACATGCATTTGGGGAGGATAAGATATATATTGCCAAGCAGGAAATCAGCAAGAAATAACCATGACTCCTGCTAAGCACGTTCAGGAGAGATTTGAAGAAAATGAAAGAGCTAATTTTGACAGTCTTTTCAGTTCTGGGAGGAAAGCCTAGACACTTTTTTCAGTGTTGTTTTTGAGGGGAGAACAATTACTCGGTAGGAAGATGTACATGGATGTGTTTCAGCAATAATCTGTCACTGCAGCCACAGTTTTTACACACTGAGGAAGTAAAATTAAATGCCTACAGCTACTCTTTGATCCACTGCTGTAAATAAACCCACAGATCCCTTCGCTGAAGTCTTTGGAAAGGCGGGACAGTTTTATTCGGGTGCCTGCCTTTAGGTACTGAGGTTTTGCACATTCAGATCGTTGCCTCTAAACCCAGAGGGGCAGAGTTTGCAGCTGACAAAGCTGGAAGTTGTTGATACAATTTGGGGGGTTGGTTTTCTTTGTGTGGTTTGTTGGTTGTTTTTTTTTCCTGAATTCTTGGGGATTTCCTGGGGTTTCTTGGAAAGCAGGGTGAGGAAAAAAAAAAGTTTTACCTTTCACACTGAAAATGCCTAAGCCTGACCCCTCTTTGTGTCACTGACTTGGCCCAAGACAGGTCAGGAGAGACCCCTGAAGATGGCCCCTGAAGTACAGGTATCAGTCAAACAGACACCTTTCTATGTCTCTGGATTGACCTTAGCAGCAACAAGTGTCTCTTGCAAGCATTGAGCTCTGAGCTCCACAAAAGAGCATGAAAAGGGAGGAAAATTATAAATGCTGCTCCTTCAGAGTAGAGTGAATCCAAACAAAGAAAAAGAACAGCTGAAAGTGTGATGTGCTCTGGGAGAACAGGAGCAAATCAGAGATTTGATTAAAAGTTTAAGAAATTAATCTTCTTCCCCCCCAAAGAAAAAAACACAACAAAGCTGACATACTATGGACTGCAAAATAGATTAACTGTGTTCAGTGCTTTGCGCTATGGGTGAGGGGAAAAAAGCACAAAAAGAAGAAAAGCTTTTTTACTATTTTGCTACTTTCTATCCCTAAAAGGTCAGGGAATTAATTTTGTCCTTTCTGTTACTGCACAGGAAAGTAACTATATTGAATCCTTCCAACTTATTAAAAAGTGCCTGGTGTCCAAAATAGAAATGCTTTTGGAGCTAAGTATGCTTTGCTAAAGGTGCTTTTGGGTGAGCACACACAGCTCAAGACAAAGCTGAAACACCTAAAAGAAGTGGTTTTCTAAGACCATGTCTGGTGCCATGAGCTTTATGTCCGAATTGATGCAAAGCAGAAGAAAGGCTCATTTGGCTTTTATACAGGATATACTACTCCATAGAGGTTAGCCTAATTTTATTCTGAAGCAGGATCTACATGTAATAAAATCTGTCACAGACACAGGACACAATACAAAGGCAATAACTTAATCTGTCAGTTTTATTTTGGCAATGCAGTATCTACTGGTGCAAATCCATCCACTGTGAGTAACTTCACTTACCTGTCAACTGAAACAGTGTTAAAATTAGCCCTTTTCTTTTATTATTATTTGTTATTTATTATTATTCTTTTATTATTTCTTGGCAAAACGGTCATCTGTCATGCACTTTATCTGTAGCAGCATAACATCAGATGATGACTTTAGTTTCAAACATACGAATTTTCTTTTCTAATACAATTTTTGGCATTTAAAAAATACCATTAACTAGTGTGAAATATTCTGGTGTAATGTCAAAATATAAGGGACACTACAGGACTGTGCAAGCCCGCAGTGGGTGTCCTGTTGGATGACGGTAGCAGACCTGACCAGGGATGGACTACCTGTGTGTTCTACTCACTTCAAGGAAAAATGTCTCATCTGCAGTCAGATCTCTCAAGTCTTTCAAAAAATAATCTGGAATCTTAGCAGTTACTCATTATTTTTAAAAGATACTTGCTATTGGTCAGTAATAGCAGTGGTTATTTTTCTTAGTTCACCTTCTTGTGCATGCTTTCTGAAATTCCTTACACACACACACACAAAGTACCTGCAAGTATTTACTTGCAAAAGCTCCTTAGTTTCCAATTATTCATACTATTCTTCTTATTTTCTCCTTGAAAACAGATTTTGAAATAATTCAATAGCTGACTCATTTCTGAATCATCATTAATTTCAGCCCACTAGTGTTTTTTTAATCCTCATTTTAATACATGGGATTTAAAGTTGTTTGTTGTTATCATTGACTTTAGGAATGCATTGAGTTGGTTCAAAAGAAGCATTACGGAGGGTAAGAAATGTTTTTGCCATCCAGGTCTCATAAATCCCCTTATTCCAGCCCCGTTAGACAAATCCCCCCGGAATATAAGAAATTCAACAGCTAGTTCTTAAGGTCAGCCAAACATCAGTAGGTCTAGAAGACCTGCCATTGGGTGAGCTGTCATTATCTCTACCCTGATGACAGTAGTCATCACAACAAGGGATGCACTTTGCTAAAGCTTGCAGTCAATTTTGACTTGCAATAAATGCCAACGTTGGCATTCATAGGCATTCACTGCAAAACAACAGCAGACAGTGCACTGAATGAGTAAATTCCTGTTGTTCCTAAAAGCTTCAAGGGGACTGAAGCAAAGAAAAATTGCAGAAGAAAACTGCCTTAGCAGCAGGTACTTTGGATGGGTGGAGGGAGGGAGGGATGGATGGATGCATGCATGGGCAAACATTCAAAT